AGAGCTCGTGAACTTGGCCCATCTTCGCTTTCCCATACGCGATGCAAGCAGCCAAACACTAACTTTAAACTATTCCATTGTGCCCAATAAGCCTTTGCGACTGGGTTTTCTGCAGCTATTTCTTCTCTCGTTGGACGTTTATTCATCTTCAATCCATGTATTACACTTTTCAAATCTGGATGCTCTTGCTGAGATTTCCGTAGCTTCTCCGAATCCCAGTCTGATGTTATAGTCATTAATCGGACATCTATAATGTCTTCTTTGGCCTCAGCATTTCGTTTCCCTCCAACTGGATTATTGGGCTTGTTACAGTTGCGCGCAATATGGCCACATTCCGCAGTTGAAGCATTTAAGCACACCATCATTTTTCTTATGTGCTTCCGTAGATTTTTTGTCAATTTTTTCAAGTGTTTTCCTCTATTTCTACTTTGTGAACTTTAAATGTTTGATTGCAAAGCAGAGATGCTGTTTCCTGTGTAAGAGCATACGAAACTGTTTCTGCAAACGTTAATTTTGGATATGCTAATGCAGCGAAGCGTGTAGTGTTATCTCGTATTCCATTGACAAAAGTCTGAATTTTCGTGTCCTCGGCGTATTCCATGGATTTATGTGCATAAGCTAAGTGAGCTAACCTCTCAATCTCTGTAGCAAACTCCTGCAACGACTTATTGGCTTTCTGGTGGCGATTTCGCAACCCCATTTGAAAGATCTGCTTCCTGTGCTTACTACCATACCGTCTTTCTAATGCACCCATCAACGTTTCATAACTACTCGCCTCGCAGTTTGGAATGGTCTGTAATATCTCCGCTGCAGATCCTTTTAATGCAACGAACAATGCAGCTACTTTATCTTCAGCGTTCCAATTACTTGAAGATGCCGTCTTTTCGAAACGTGGAACGGAACAGTGCAATCAAAGGATGGAGGTTTTACCTTGGCAGAAGCTGACGACATAATTGGCTGATTTAATTGTAGCTCACGGAGACGATCTCTCAATTCATCGACTTTAGTTTTAATTTTATCCCGCTCTTCCGAAATCTGTGAGGACACTTGCGATATCCGTGCATCCTGCTCTTTCAACTGTGAGGACACCTGTGCTGATATACGTGCTTCTTGCGCTGCGAACTGCTCTTTTAACTGTAAGGATACCTGTGCTGATATACGTGCATCTTGCGCTACGAACTGTTCTTCCAAATGCGTGTATCCTGCTCTTTAGATTGTGTCGACGTTTGCGTTGACATTTCTTTCCCCATCTGCGATATTGCAGCAAAAATCATGTTTATGTCCACAATCTTTGACGAGCATTGAGCCTCTTCCTTTTCTTCTATCTTTGTTGTCTCTTCCTCTAATTCCATGTGAAAGACATATTCCTCAACATTAATGTTTTCCGCCTCCATGGCTTCTCTCAACCGTGATTGTAATTCAGTTTTTCAGTTGTCGCCAAACCACGTTGCTCCAGCTCTTTTTTCAGTTGTGAATCTTCAGATCGTTAAACTTAGCCATTTAATAATAAGTAATAATAAAAACTTTCAAGAATATTATCGAAACAAATGGGTTTTATATATTTATTGCTTTTCCTCACCACCTCTGAGGTTGCAAGATAGGCGCGCTACCGACTACAATAATATTTTTGATAAAATTAGAGATATTAAATAATATTTCAATACAGTAAATAATAATTTAAATAATACTATGTAAATTGAATCTTTACGAATTATAACAACTGAAAAATATTTGAATATGTAATAAAAACATTCTTAAATTTATACATTTTAAAACTTAACACGGCAACACACTATAGCATCTATTGTGTCATTTGGACGTTTTAGTAGTAGAATATAAGCA